GAGAGAGAGAGAGAGAGAGAGAGAGAGAGAGAGAGAGAGAGAGAGAGAGAGAGAGAGAGAGAGAGAGAGAGAGAGAGAGGAGGAGGAGCAGCAGTGTGTGTGGGTAAGCCTTGCCTCTGTGTGAAGAGGAGAGGATATGGAGGGGAGGGGGAGCAGGTTCGTGTTCAAGGAGAGTTGGACATCACAGTCCGCTGTGTACCAGACGGATTGGGCCCATCATGGCAGCCGGAGGAGGGAGAACCCAATTCAAATCCAATCAGGAGGCGAACAGAGCTCCATCATACACTCTCTGAGCCACAGGGCAATGCCACTAAGAGAGCAGCAGCTGGTGGTGTTGACTATGATGCTGTTAGTGATGTGCTTCTCGTTCATATGGCCATGGTTCCTCCAACCTTTTAGAGGGGAGGATTCTACTGATTTTCCCAATACGGACTCTCTGCGGGGACCTTCTGGCGGAACGTTGTGGACTGACGACGATGACGAGCCAACAGCAGTAGCAGCAGCAGTGACGTCTGTAGCAGCAGCAAGAGGAGGAGGAGGAGGAGGAGGAGGAGTTGGGGGAGGAGGAGGATGGAATGACACGAAGGGCCTGCAGGACACAGTTTCGAAAAGGAGGCTGCTTGAGAATCTCGTGGGTTACGGCCAGGTGGCGAACTATGTGAGCAGGAAGGAAGACAGATGGGGAAAGCAGTATGACTTGAAAGGTGGAGAAGGTGGTGGAGGAGGAGTTGGCTCCAGTGGCCCTTCCATCGCTATCCGGTACCTGGACCTCTCTAGGGAGGAAGAGGCCCTTGCTGAGGACGGCAATCGAGTCAAACACTGGTGGGACGTATCTGGTCAGTATGCTACCTTGAGGTATGCCAAGTGTCTGGCCTGCAGCGACGCAAAGCTCTTCTTTGACTCCATGATGGTGTGGCATATATGCGGCAGGTGGGGTTGGAGCGACAACGACCCAAGCTTTGGATTTTGCAACGGCTGGAGGCCAAGGAGAGAGGACTGCGACAAGAAGCGGAAGAGATGGATGTTGCAGGAGAAGCAAAGGAGGCGCCAGCTGCAGCAGGAGGAGCAGAGGAGGGAGAGGAGGGAGGATCACCCTCTCTCCTCCCTTCATCAGGAAAGAAATCGCTCCAACCTGCCGGCCAACGACAAGAACAAGGACAGCAGTGCTGGGGTGGAGCAATTGAACGACCTGAGGGCTACGATGAACCTTCACTCGCTCATCTTGAGAGGGAAAGGACCGCATGATCCGTACCTGGTCACCTTCTCGGGTGGGGCTGAAATCACAGAGGCAGGACAGATTTACAACGACGAAGTTATGTACGATTTCCGGGGCCACTGTGGCCTTCCGCTCGATTCCTTGCGACCAGCCAACAGCAACGTAACTTCCGTCGGACTGGAACTGACGACCGAGCCCGAAGGCCCACGTCACAAGAAGGTCTTCGTCATCGACTGCATGCTGACGGGTAATGTCGATCGCGACGTGGTTGAGGCCGGGATCGCGTTGATGCCATACTACGAGGAGCTTTCGATGGACTCAAGCAGCGTGGTCCACGTGTCGTCGTTCGGACGCAACGGCGGAGAGCTCGGCTCCCGCGGGGGAAATGGTTCATCATGGGCGGAAGAGGCGGACAAAGGCGGGCGAGGGGGAGGGGGAGGGGGAGGGGGAGGGGGAGGGGGAGAGAGCCTGCGAGAGCTGTCGCGACTGCTGGGAATCGAGCCCGCGCGCTTCGTCGCAGGACATATTCGAGCGGAGAAGGTGGTGGCTGCGGAGGCCGTGTGCTGGTACAATCACTGGCTATACGCCGTCTATGGCCGGCGACTTGCGGACGTGCTGCGCAAGCGCGCACGGCACCTGCTTACACCGATAGACAACGACAGGAGCAGCCACGCAGTGGAGGACATGCTCGTCACAGTCCAGAGGAGGAGGAGGAGAAGGAGGGATGGGAGGAGGCAGAGTGGGGAGCCGACCTCGGCAGCCATAGCGACAGGCGGTCGAAGGACACTGCTCAGAACTATGGGGGAGGAGGGGGAGGAGGGGGAGGAGGAGGAGGAGGAGGAGGAGGGGGTCGGGAAGCAATTAGGCGAAGCGCGAAGCGTCCATCGTCGACTGCAAGGGGTACATGACGAACCCGAAGGTGCAACAACAACGAAGTTCAATGTCAGTTCGACACGTGGCCGGGCTGGTAGTAGACAGCTCGCTCAAGAGGGCTTGACGGCGAGGGTCGCCGCCGCAGCGGCAGCAACTGCAGCAGCAGAGGCGGAGCAGCGGCGACACAAGAGGTCTCTTGCAGCAGGGGGAAAAGGCCATAGCTTGGCGGCTATGGAAGCTGGAAAAGAGGACGGCACAGAAGAAGAAGAAGCCGAAGAGGAGGAGGAGGAAGAAGAAGAAGAAGAAGAAGAAGAAGAAGAAGCCTCTTCCCTCCCTCCTGTTCCTCTTGGGAAAGGGGTGATTCTCGTAGTCCAGCGCGTTGGAGATCGCAGGATCGAGAACTACCAAGAACTTGTCGAGGGCTTACGGCAGGCAGTCGCCCAGGAAACACCCTGTTCCTCCTCCTCCTCCTCCTTCTCCTCCTCCTACTCATCCTCTTCCTCTTTCTCTTCTTCGAGGACACAGAGCAGAGGTACTAGTTCTAGTACCTCCAGAAGTCTCAGCAGCAGGAGGCGAAGGATCGTTGAAGTTCAGTCGGACACCACACGGGGTGGTGGTCCCCTCGAGCTGACGTGGCCGTTTAGCAGCGCTGACATAGTTATTGCACCGCATGGCGCTGAGCTCACGAACATGTTGATGGCCAGAAGAGGAACAGTTGTGTACGAGATCGCGACCCCGCCGGCGCTAAATTGGGATCCCTCTGTGTTCAACATATACTATAAGAGGATGGCTATCTGGTTGGGGATGGACTACTACTTCGATCTGCCTTTGCGAATGGAGGAGGGCGGACCTGAGTACCGCGCCCAGACAACCAGCTGGCATTTCACTAGCTCGTATATGGTTGTAGACGTCCGCCGGGTGGTAGATAATGTCCGGCGGATCCTGTGTCACAAAGGGTGGTGGTGATTAGAACTTCCATTTGAAATTAGACCAGGCAGCCACGACAAAAGGGGCTTGCTGAAGGCCCCAGAAATCACGCCTGCTTACCCCCGTTGCGGCGTACACAAAGAGTGTAAAATAAAGACGGATTGACGGACACGCAAACGCACATAGATGGATAGAGGCATAGAGGCATAGAGGCGTCGATCTTCCGACTGATCTTTTTCTTCTTCTTCTTCTTCTTTTTTTTTTTTTTTTCTTTTTTTGT